GCAGGGGGTTATTCACTCCAGCTGCCTTGTCCATCTGCTGGGTGCAGCCTTATACACCCGTCTAGCATTTACCTGCTGCGTGTGCCATTTTGCATATTTCATCTCAGCTTCCCCCACCCCCTCCTGAAGAAATCCACCTTTGGAAAACTCTTCTGGTTCATCCTTGTAAAGAAAGCTGGGTAGGGGGAGCAAAAAGTCAGAAGGAGCACTTGCATACACATGGTAGGAAGCTGGTTCTTTCCTGTTCCCCAAGTTTCCTAAAGTGGACAAGTCATTATACCCAACATGATCACTAACTCAAACGAGTCCAGGTAGATGGATAAAGGAATAAAAAGCAGCATGAATAATGCAAACCTGCCATATTCACCATAAGAATAAATATACCCCACAATTAAACATCGTATGCCAAACTGCATCAATACAAAGGTCCTACCTTCGTTTCTGAAATGTCAGTTATTTCCTCAGTTGCATGGTTTTCATTCTAGGAAAAAACAGATGATGAAGTAGGTGCAGAGCCAACCCAGAACTTTTCATCTGAAACCCTTTAAATCTGGGGATGGTTCATAGATCAGAATGAACCCTATGTTTTTGCTTCTGAGTCAGGACCCTAACCAAAAAGGACTTTTTTTCCCCCCAATCCCATAAGTCATTAAGGTCTTGCAAAGACATTTTTGGGTTCTGAAACTGTCTTCTTCTAACCGAGTTAGAGCTCCTCTCCCACACACAGCAGGGAAGGATTTAAGTTTGTGATTAAGGTTGAGCAAACACTTGAATGCTTGGCTGAATTGGATGCTCAGCCCATTTGGAGTTGATAATGCATAATAATGGATCATTTTATAGATAGACTGAAACTTTCCCAGCCTCGGAAAATTGTTGACACTAACAAATGAAGTTGCAAAATTGGCTTCTTCAGGCAAAAAGACCAGCAACCAATTTCTGTAGGAGGTTAATGTTGAAATGACACTTTTCAGTAGCTAAAGCTTGAATACTTTGTGAGCAGCAGCGAGAGGAGACATAAGGGGCTAATCAAAATGCAGCGCACAAGGAAGATGGTTTCTGCCCCAAGGAGCTTACAATCCAAATATCAGATGAGAGACAACAAATAGACATAGACAGACGGTCAGGGGAGCACAAGGAAACAGTGAGGCAAGGGGAGCCTGCCTAATAAGAAATGGCATCTGCTTATAGCTATGACTTTCTGCAAAGAGTAACAGGATTACCTGAAACATGAACTATATTATAGCAAGAAATCCACCCTCCTCCTCACCTTCTCTACCTTCCCCCTGGTTGCTATGATTTACTTTGTGCTTCATTTATTAAGCGGCATCGATATGCACACTGGTGTCTAGAAATGAGACTACGTTCAGACCCAGCGCAAAGGCATTACACATGTATCCCAGGCCTGGCCTAGTCTTCTTACCCCCTGGAGTTAAAACAGACGCCGAGATAATACAATAGAGCCACATAAAATGAGTGTTCAGGCTTTGATTTTCTAGCAGTACTTTTACAAGACATCATTCGTATCGCTTCCTTCCGACAGAGAAGCGTTTAATTGTGAATTTGCTGGCAATTGGTGCCAGTGTGGATTCACGACTCTTCTTCTGGAGTTTTGGGGTGGACTTTTTGGCACATCATGGGGATGTTTCTTTGTTCAGAGGGGTGAATCTTGAGACAAGTGCTATAGAAGTGAATACAACTTCCCTCTCCATTTTCCAACCCTCCTCTAGAGTTTAATGGAGAATTATCTCCCTGCTCCAAAAATTACATACAATGGTTTAAAAACCACAGCATGCCCTGGAGGTTGAGCCAGCTTCTGCTGATCCCATCAGAACTAATGCCATTGACTTCAGTAGATCCTGGCCCAGATCCCAAATAAGTAGTTTTAGAGCTGGTCAACACTTTCCTAATCTCAACGAATAGCTTTTATCAAGAATTTTGTGTGTGTGTGTGTGGGGGGGAGGGGTTATACTTTCAAGGAAAAAATTGAAAAACTGTTGATGAGAATATTTTTGGGAAGTCCCTACTCATGCTGAAACCCTTTTCTAGCAGCTTTGCAGTATTATGTGTTTTGACCAAATAGAAGAACTTGGATTCTCACCCCATGTTAACATTTTGATTAATTTATATCAAATGCCAGTTCATTCAGACACATGGATGAATACCACTGTTAGAGGTGACACTCGAAGCATAAAGATGGAGAAGACTGTCTCATGGCAGCTGTGCGCAAAGGAATGGGCTGTATTCAGTTGCTGCTTGAAAAGCAGGAAGAAATTGTCCTCGCTTCATTCAGGAGTTAAATATCCTTGGTTGGGCGGTGGTGGGGTGGAGGGTGGGGGATGGACTTGCATCAATTCAAAGAGTCACATCACATGTTCAGACATGTTTCTAATCAAGATAGCTTGATTGTCCACAGGCCGACCCGTTCACATGTGCTTGCGTTCAAACGCCTACGAAGGGGTGTTCTAGGAAACCATTTAGGAAAGAGGGGAACAGGTGAACTTGGGAAGAGAGAAGCAATTGGTGACTGTCCCGAGGCTTTTATCCCAGGTCTGGGCTGGTCTCCCAAGGCTCGGTCCAAAAGCAAACGGACTGCTTTTCCTTTTATGTCTTTCATACAGTTTTGTGCCTCCTAGTTTTGGCCCTGGGGGTTAATGGACCATGAGAGAAACTGCCCGTGCTGCCGCGCCGGAAGGAAAAAAACCCCGATGAGGTTGGAAGTGTCTGATGCTGCAAACGGTGTCGTTGCAAACGGCGACCGTCTCATCATCGTAAAGGGTTTTCATCTTAGCCTTGAAGACCTTATGGGCCTCTCTCCTTGGATAGGAATTGCATGTGCATCTCCATCACATCCGTATTTCCAAAATACTGCTTAGGATCAGCCCTGCTTTTTGCTCCTGCTTTCTTTTGCGTCTTAGCAGTGTGCCATCCCAAAGCTGTGGGTCTACGTACCCTTATAAATTTACAATAATAATGGACCATAGCGTAGCGTAAATTGATCTGTCCCCAGATGCTGTAAAACCCTTCTGTCCAGTCGCTCCTTGCAACCTTCCCGAATCGCCAAGTTGTGCCTCCCCACTAGAAATAACCTGTGAGAACAACCGGGCCTTGCGGTCCATTTTTGTGGACCCCAGCTGGAAAAAGGTACAGAGCCCCTCGGACCCCGTGGAGAGGAGATGCGACCTTTGTTCCTCCCACGGAAATCAAACATTCAGCCTGAATCAAGTCATCTTTAGTGCAAAGAGCCATGAAAGGGTCTGATGGCATAAAATACTCTCTCTACGTGGAGGTAAAGCTTGAAGGTTTGGCAAACTCTGTCTCTGAGAACTAGGCTGCCAGCAAGGACATTGTGTCATGATTTGACTCAGGACGTTAGGAGTCAGGTAGTGCTGGTCTGACTCCTGGCATGTCCCAGAGGCATGACTGATGGAGGTTATGCCCCAGGAAGCAGACTTGAACTGATAGAGTTGACACCCGGAGGTGCCGGAAGTGCAGAGAGTGGGGCTTGAGGTTACTTAACCTGGGGGGCGAGCTGAGCTGGATGTGGCCCCAGGCAGAAAGAAGAAGGTTTGCCAAAGTGGCACGCGACTTGCTGCCTGCATTGTCCCAAACCTGGGATTACTGTGCCCAGGGCTAGTGCACTGGCATCAATTAGAGGCTGCAAACGCAGCTGGGGACTGGTGTTGTGTCATGCCCCCTTGCCCTGGCCGCTGCCAAGGGGGTGGTGAAGCAGGAGCCCCTGGACCGCTGGTCCTTGTCCTCTCCCAGCTGATGTCGCGGCTAGATGCTGCCTGCTGCAAAGCGAGCTGCGCTGCACCAGCACATCTGGTTGTGTTTAGAAACTTTTAATGAATCCCACAGCCACAGAAATCAAAACAAAGACTAAGCCGAGTGCGGGAGGCGGCCCGGATTGGTGAGAGTCCGTCAGCAAGCGGCCGCCTTTCTCCCCGATAATCATGCATCTGAAAGGGCTCGATGCAGACGGAGACATTCAGGGGGGCTTCTTTTTCCCTTCAGGATCTCCGTGCTGAAGCGAGGGAGGATGAAAAGAACTGCCATCTTTTAGGGGAGAAAGTTCAGCCTGCAATATTTAGGGAGACTCTTTAATGACTCTTTTGCCTACTGAAGGGCTGCCGGAAATCTCACCCTGTTTGGCTGCAGGGGCAGATTCTCAGCCGGGGCCAACTGTTCGTGCGATGCCCCAGGCCCAAGCGCCCTGGGGAGGCCGGGAGAGCGGGAGCCTCCGTTTTCCAGGCTGCGCCGCGTGGATTTGCAACTCCCCGAGTGCATCACAACCCTGACGGACGGGCAGAACTGTTGATTGTCCCCCCTGGCCCATCAAAAGGGGTCGGGTCCTGGAGTCGCGCACACCATTGTGCCCCGAAGAGAACAGGGCCGTACCCACAGCCCCTGAAAAGTCAGCCCGAGTTTCCCTGCGGATCCCGGCGGTCTGTGGATCGGGTCCTTCCTGTGTCTGGGAATCACGTTGCGCTGCTCAGCCCTTGCATTGGCAGACCTGCCGGAGGAGAAGAGAGTGGGAAACACAGTGGTGTTTGGAGACTTTCCGAGAAAGCCACGGGAATAAGATGCTGCCGGGGCTTTTCCACGCGGCGCTGACCTAAAGGCGCCCCGATTCCCTGGGGCCCAGGCGAGAGGAGCGGGGGCTTTCGGAAGGCCAACTTCAGGCTGACTCGCCCCCAAAGTTGGTGGCACACCAGCCTCCCGCCCGGGGACGCGGCCGAGCGAGGTGGGTCTGCCTTGCCCGGAGGGGGCTCGGGCTGGGCTGGGGATGCAGTTCAGCGGGGGGAGGTGGGCTGGGGCCGCAGGGGCGGCGGAGGCTGCACTTCCCTCTGGCAGCCGGGCTTTGGAGCCCCCTCCCCGCACCTCCCAGCCCCCGGGGCGGGGATGATGGATGGCAGCACTTTCTTAAAGTCTTCCCCTCCCCTTCCCCCTGCTCCTCCTCCTCCCCAAACTGTCCTCGGCCCGGCTCCGCGGGAGGAAGACGGCGACGGCGACGAAGGAGCCCCCCCGGCCTCCCCAAGAGGACTCCTCCCCCGCCCCGCGGGGTGATGGGGGCCGGCTGAGCCGGGGAAGTTGCTCCTGGCTCCCGCCGCGCGGGGGGGGCTCGGCAGGTAAGTGCTGCTGCGTGGGGGGGCGCGGGGTGTCCCGCGTTGCAGCGGGCGGTCGGGCCGGGGTGCCGCAGCGCGGGGCCGGGGGTACGCGCCCCCCCTTGCTCTCTCCCGCTTTTCCCCGCTCTTTGCTGAGGAATTTCAAACATCCTCCGCTGCAACTTGATCCGTGTGCGAGGGGGAGCGGCCGGGAGCCGGGCGCCAATCCTATTAAGGGTTTAGAGAGAGGAGAGGGGGCTATTTTACCCCCCCCCCCACCCCTTTCGGCACTCAGTGGCTTTAAAACAGTCAGG